CCTCTTAATTGTACGTAAAAAAATATTTTGACTTTCATAAAAGTTATTGGTATCTAGCGTTTTTCGTTTTGGAATTATTTTGATTTTAAGTTTTTCTTTGGTAAATTTCACCATGCTCTTTGAAACGCCATATCCCAGCCAACGTTCATTCAAAAAAGATCTAAATTGGTACAATTACTCTTCAGATGATGTCAAATAGATTGTATCAGAGTTTATTATCGAATTATAACAATAAATAATAAGGAATTGAGTAGAGTTGAACGCGTTATTTCCGATTAGTTTACATCACCACATCAACAAACAAATCAACACAAGACTTGGAAACAGTGGCGCCGATTACGGGGGGCTGCGGGGCTTGAGCCCCCCCATAGTCGGCGCCACGGGGTTTGAGCCCCCCCGGAAAATCGTAAAAGTGTACAATTGTATTACTTATTATTATACAGGGTGCCCGGAAATTGCGTTCATATATTTAAAGGTGTCATTCTACATAAAAAATCATGAAGAAAACTTCATATAAAGGTGTGTCCTAAAATGCTTCCTAAGGGAGGTAGAGCGCTTTGAAGAAGACGTTCAATATGTGGTTATTTCTCATTATTTCAAAAACTACTAGGGTTAGAAACACGAAATTTTGCATATCTAGCTATTTTTACGGGGCGAATACGATAATCGAATGAAAAATTAGAAGGAATGTGCAGTTGCGGAAATAAGGGATAGGGGGCGCAATTTATTTCCCATATTTCTTTTTGCTTTGATCTTTTCACTATTTTAACCTCAAAATTAGAATCTACGGAAAAACATACATAAAAAATGTTCTGCTTATAAAATGGTCTACGACCACTCGTTTTCAAGATAAATAATACTAAGTAAAATCTTAGTAGGCTCCTTTCATTTGTTGATCTTTGCTGTCAAGCGGTCGACAAAAAATTATTTTAGTGCAACAACCATTATAATTTACGTTTAATTAAATCAAAATGGTTCAATACTCAAACGAAGAGATGGCAAACATTCACTTTACGTACGGTAGAGCTGATGGAAATGCCAGAGAAGCACGAAGATTGTACGCAGAACGATANATGGTAGAATTTTTGAACAATTCTTATAACTTTTTTTGGTGTTATATTAAAAATTTAAGTGCTTTTTGTTAATGTTTTAAGTTAAACTTTTTATTTTTGTTAAATTGTTAATACGTTTTGTTTAGATTGTTTTTATTAAGGTTTTGGTAAAATTTTAAGTTATTATGAAAAATTAGTAACAATCATCTTGTGAATCATTTTGATAAAATTAACCATGATTCGCAGAAATTTTTGTAGACAATGTACGAAGTAATTTTTTATCACCCATTTGACAGCTGAAATCAAACCAATGAAAGAAGCCTAGATGAGAAATAACCACATATTGGACGTCTTCTTCAAAGCGCTCTACCTCCCTTAGGAAGCATTTTAGGACACACCTTTATATGAACTTTTCTTCATGATTTTTTATGTAGAATCACACCTTTAAATATATGAACGCAATTTCCGGGCACCCTGTATACAATACAATTGTATTGTAATAAGGTGTACCATTTGAAAAAGTTCAGCCCCCCTTAAATATTAAAAAGGTGGCGCCACTGCTTGGAAATGTCTTATTGTCTTAGTTAAATGAAGTAGCTGTTGTTGTATGATATTAAAAAGGATTTTTTTAAAATATTATATAGGTTAGGAAAAGTGAAACAATTCTTTTTGGATTATTTTATAGGTTAGGTAATTTTTTTACCTGACATAATGAAGGTACACCATTAGCACACCTTTGATGAAACTTATATCCACAAGTTCGACAGCAAAACCCTTGAAAAAGTAGTCTCCGACAAGTCTCACAAAAGACGATTGAAAAAAACGTTTTCCGTACAAAGTTATGTGAGATGGTGGTTGGAATAGGAAACTTATCAATAACTTTGACAGTAATCTCGTCGCAATCCAACGTAGAAATATCAACATCCCAATTAATGGGAAACTCCGAACCTAACGCATACACACAACAAACCTCGCAAATTAAATTTCTTAATTTCATTGCTTTAGCTAAAGCCTCTCGTAGCGTTTGACCTTTTCTAACTTGCACACTCGTCCGTTGTTGATTTGGTAAATGTGCTCTAAGTAATTTATGTTTGGATAATGTATCAATTTCAGGACGTCTTGGGAAATATTGATACGTTGTTGTCGATTCGCACTCAACAGAACCATTATTCAATTCTTCTAATAATTTACGTTCTTTTGATTCCAATTCATGTAATTTACAGGTTAAATCGTCGTATTCTTTTAAGTACATAGACGAGGGTGGCCTAATATCCGCAAACTTTGCATTTAGGGTGTCGATATTAGCTCGAGTCAATGCGATAACATTTTGTATATTTCTGAGTTCGTTAATTTTGGAAATATCTGTTTCATCCCCACTGTCTGTTGTCGACATTTTCCGTAATCTAAAGTTGTTATTAGTACCATGAATGATGGGGGCCCCGTTTCCATTCAACACCAACTTCAACAGGATTCTAAAAGGACCCTAAACAATTTTATATTATTTTTTTATCGTTATGATAAAGGGGTTAATATTAATTTTTTTTTTGGATTTTGGATTAAATTAAAAGAATAATAACATACCAAAAACAAACACACTGAATATACCGATGTAAAAAAAAACGTAACCCGTGTTGTCGTCGTTGACGTCTCTCTCTCTTTTTTTTGACGTTTAATGTACGTGTGTGTGTGTATGTGTGCGGCGCGTTCTCTGTTGCGGTGTTGCCACGCGCAAAATCCTACTACTACAATGTTTACGTCATTTCTACACTTCTTCCATCCTTTTCAATTATAGATATTAACTCCAAAAATTCTAGTTAAAACACAACTTTATCAATAAGATATCAAATAAATTGTGTACTTTTTATATTTCGTTTTATTTGAATTGATCGTCATTTTATTTACTCGGTAAAACCAATTTAATGCATTGATAGCGTTTTTAAATCAAATTATTTCCAGAATTTAAAATTAAAAAAAATTGGTGTGATCATTAAGGTTATGTTTGTCAAATTAAATGTCATTTTTGACGTTTTAAATAAATTTTAATTATTTTTATTTTAATTATTAGAATTAATCAATTTAATGATATTAAGATTAGTATTTTAATTTCCTTGCTCAATTTAATTGTTTATATTAATTTGTAACTAAATTAAATTAAAAACGTCAATTACAAATAATTAAAAATGGCGGTAAATTCAAAATTTTCGTTTCACTTAAAATACAATATACAAAAATATATTTCAATAGAAAACAGGACGTACCTACTAAACCTGAAACATTTTAGTTCTAGATCTACTGTTAGTTCTAACTTTAATTGTTATACACCGCTAGACCAAGAACTAGAATCACTCGGGTTTAGCAGTCTTAAGAGAAGTACTACTAAACCGAAATATTTCTGGTTCTAGATCTAATATTCGTTTTAGTGACAGTGCTAGTGTAAAACTAGAACTAACACTATACCTAGAATTAGAATCATTACGGTTTACCCGTCTTTAGAGACGTGCGGCTATACCCAAATAATTCTACTTCTAGGTCCAGTGTTCGTTCAACTTGTATTTTAGTAAAAATAGACAACAATTTAGCACTGAATAACAATTAAAACTAGAACTAACGCTAGACCTAGAACTTTCCTTTACAAAACTACCCAACGCCTGTGCTATTCAGCTATGTTACTACTAGAATGCTACTACAATTTACACTTCTTCCATTCTTTTCAATTATAGATATTACCTCCAAAAATTCTAGTTAAAACACAACTTTATCAATAAGATATCTAATAAATTGTGTACTTTTTATATTTGGTTTTATTTGAATTGATCGTCATTTTATTTACTCGGTAAAACCAATTTAATGCAATGATAGCGTTTTTAAATCAAATTATTCCCAGAATTTAAAATTAATAACATGTGTCATCATTAAGGTTATGTTTGTCAAATTAAATGTCATTTTTGACGTTTTAAATAAATTGATAATAAAATAAAATTAAATTTATAAATTAGTTTAGAACTATTTGAATTAATCAATTTAATGATAGTAAAATTAGTGTTTTAATTTCCTTGCTCAATTTAATTGTTTATATTAATTTATAACTAAATTAAATTAAAAACGTCAATTATGACAAATAATTAAAAATGGCGGTAAATTCAAAATTTTCGTATACAGTGAATTTCGTTTCACTTAAAATA